TCGCAGATGCGGCAAAAGCTACGCACTTGCGCGTACTACCCAGCCCCTCGCCAAGCCGCTTCTGTGATGCACATCTCGCTTTTGCGAGCTCGCACCTGCGAGCAAATTTCCGTAGGTGCGATTGCACCGGAAGGCAAAATTATCCAGATTTTTTCTTAAGTCCAAATTTGATCCGTTAACCATCTAAAACTCACCTGAGACCCTCGGGACCTCAACCAAATATACCAACAAGTCTTAAAACATCATACGAACTTAGTCGAGCCTCTAAATCACATCAAATAATGCTAAAAATACGAATTGCATATCGATTCAAGCCTAATGAACTTTAAAACTTTAAACTTCTACATCCGATGTCGAAACCTATCAAATCAAGTCCGATTGACCTCAAATTTGCACACAAGTCATAATTGACATTACAGACCTAATTCAACTTCCAAAATCAGAATCTGACCCCGATAACAAAAGTTCCATTCCCGGTCAAACTTTTCAAAATCATCCAATTTTCCAACTCTCGCCAATTGACGCTAAAATGACCTACGGACCTCCAATTCAACATCTGAATATGCTCCTAAGACCAAAATCACCCTACGGAGCTATAGGAACCGTCGAAACTCCATTCCGGAGTCGTATTCATACAATTCAAACTACGGTCAATTTTTAGAACTTAAACTCTCAATTTAGGGACTTTGTGTCCCATTCCACTCTAGAACCTAAAACAAACACTCTCGGCAAGTTACGTAGCCACAAAATAAAATAAAGGGAGCAATAATTAGGGGTTCAGGGCTAATAATCTCAAAACGATCGGCCGGGTCGTTACACCTATTCCATATCCCAAAAAAGCAATACGAGTATGATATCATCAAAATAAACTCCCGGTCAAACTTATGATTTCTCAAAACCTTCAAATTGTCAACTTTCGACAAATAGAGCCAAAACATCCTAGGAACCTTCAAATATAAATCCGAACATATGTCTAAGTCGAAAATCACCATACGAACCTATTAGAATCATCTAATCACCAATCTAAGATCGTTTATGAGAAAATCAAGTATTGGTCAACTCTTACAACTAAAGCTTCTAACAATGGAGCTAAGTGTTCCAATTTACTCCTAAACCTTCCCGAAACCAGACCAACCATCACCACAAGCCACAAAGTAATAAACAAATATACGGGAAGCATCAAATAGAAAAATGAGGCTCAAATAAATAAAACGATCAGTCGAATCGTTACAAATAACATAAAAGAATAGAAAATTCTTATTGATTAGAATAGCTCCTCTCTAGTATCTCTTGAATCATGAATTGCCAGGATTACAATGCTTTGATTATAGGAATAATGTAGTAATTTGCAGATGGATACACACGAAGGGAAAGAGGGGTTTAAATAGTGAATTTACTCATAATCGTTCCCCTAATTTCATGTTCATCCGTTACATGCATTAATTGCATTTTACAGCCACTAACTTCTCGGCGCGTGCTTTATTTTGCACGTGAATGCGAGTCTTGTAGTATTCAGTGTCATAAAATAAAAAATGAAAGAATAGAGTAAGAGTTTCTAATCGTGTCCAAAATGACCTCTAAGCTTTACACACCGTCATGTCATGACCCGCCATATCATCATGTCACGTAGGTGCCATTTGGCATATATTAATGCCACGTGAAAACTTACATAAGAGGAATGATAGTATTTGTGAGAAGATTCTAGAGAAGTATGGACACTTCTTTAGAAAGACCCTAGATCCCTATGGATTTGCTAGACTTTGGAATCTTCTAGGTTTGTAGAGAGTTCCAGAGAAAGCTTTTATCTTGTAAATATTAAGGACTTGTGTAACAATTAATATATACATACTAGCCCCTAGGAGACTAGTATATAAAGGGGGCTATTCATTTGTAATTCATCAAGCAAAATAATTAAGTTCTCTACAATAAAAAGTTTCCTTTGGCAAATTTCTCTTGTCTTTCTTATCTAATATTTCATAAGCGATCTTGAGTGTAGTATTTTAGGCTGACTTGGCACAGCAAGATCGTGACCGAGTTGTGTAAGATCGTAAGTAAATTGTCAAAGTGCAGCACGTGCGCTTAGTTCAAGACTGACAATCACATTGTGTAATTTGACTCAGCCAATTTTCACAAATCTCTTCTCGAGTTCAACCTCAGACTGTCTGTACGTGGCTGTTACATTTGACTTTCTAGATGGCCTTCTTTACTGCATTGATTCAACACAAAGTGCGTCTTGCAAATGGTGCAGACAACATTCATATAGGATGGTAAGTGAGGAGTAAAAAACTGGATAGAACCATGTTCACTGGCGCTGAAAGAGTAGTTAGTTACCTTGCTGAAGTTTTTACTTGAGATTTTGCAACATAAAAGGGTAGAGAAAGAAGATAACAACGAAAGCTGAGTAGTAGTACACGTGCAACCAACAAGGGTTGTGGTTGACTGATGAGTACCTCTTCACTATTAACTAAGGGTCTCGGGCTCGAGCACTGGGTATGGAATCACCTTTATTAGGGAACACTTTAACTTACGATGCGGGACTTCCCGGGACGAACCAGAATTTAGTCTGACCCCAATGCGGGTAATAAATACTGAACGGGAAATAAAAAAATTGAAAAAAATTAGTATTATCCTCAAATTCACAAATGTATATTGGAATGAGAACACATAGTTTATGAAGTTGAATGTAGTTGCAGTTAATCTTGTCTTCATGCGATTGCTTGTAGACAGTTTTCCATTATGGTCTCATAAGCTAGGAAAACTTTCAGTATTGTATCTTCTTGTAATTAAATTCTGAAAATCTGCGTTACGTTTTTTCTAGTGGATAAGCTTATATATATTATTTGGTAAAAGTGAAAATAAGCGAAATGCATATATTGTTCCGCGTTCCCACCAAATCCGACACCACTTGGTTCTGACGCCAACATCACAAAATATAGTTTTGGAATCAATCTTAGTTTAGTTTGAAACTTGAAATCAATATTACCTAAGCCAATGGATAAAGAATTGCTAGTTTTACCATATGAATAGCATAAAATGGGAGAAAATAGAGTGAGGCGAAATTAATTGAGATAAGATAATTGTATACGGTCGAAATAAATTTCAGCCTTGGCATGTCCGGTACGGTTTGAAGGGCAGTGTATCGAAGTAAGATCTCGAAGGGGGGCACGAACTAACCTAGAACCCGGGAAGTCCGGTCCGTGATGAGATCGATATTATAATCAAACTCGAACAAGAATCGAACTACGATGCGGGTAGATCTATCGTGCTGATAATCCAAAAACCAACCTACATCAACCTGGAATCAATTCAAGGGCTCGAACCAGGGTCGGGCTCGAACCAAGATCATAAATTCGAGCCGAAACCAAGCTCAAACCAAAATCGAGGATTCTAAGCAAGATCGAGCTCGCAGACAAAAGCCCTTGTAATCCCACTAGAGGGAATCTTGGCAGAAATTATGAAAAAGCTAATTTAGCATGGGTCTCCCACTGAATGTTTATTTTATTATACTTGGAGCCAAATCTCTCCACTATAAAGAGGCTTGGTTATTATTTCTGCAAGGACATATTTTTTCTAAGATTTACGATATAGCAAAAGTATTATTTCCTCTACAAGAAAGGGTGATCATTACAGTTTCTTGGACTGATTCTATTTTTGTTAAATTCTAAGGTTCACTGTTCATGATTGCCTTGTCCAGATTAATTTTTCTCCAATCTATATTCACATTTTTATTTATCTTTGCATTTTGTGTTAAGTTGTACCACATATCTTCGGAACTGCGTATAAATTCAACTCTATCCATTTTTCGGGTAAACAATAATAAAAAAAATCTATTGCAAATTTAGTTGGTTCTTAATCCAAACACCAAAGATATGTAGTTTTGGAATTAATCTTTGTTTGAAACTTTGGAACCAAAAGAAAAGGACTTACACACGAAAGCCTACGAAAGTAGAAAAGTACTATGATATGATCAACGTCGGTAAATAGTGAAGAATATTTGGTAGATTAATGTGAAAAAATAACTTTTTTTTTACAATTCATTGGCTTGTATAGACAAGTACTTTCATATCACTACTAGAAATTCGATAAAATCCGACCGAGGTCTACCGACCAACGTTGGTTGGTCAAAAAAACGATCAATAAATCGTCCAAGGCGGATGGAAACTACTAAAAAAATATTTTTCATATTTTTTAAAAGACATACGGACCGAAATCGATCGGTATATTGGTCAAACATATGACCGCAATGATCAGACTTGCTTAGTCAAAGCACTTTTTTGATTATCGACCAACATCGGTCAGTTAGGTCGGCCCACATTTTTAAATTTTAATACTTATATTATTATTTAAAATATTTTATAAAATTTATAGTTGAAGATCGGTTATTACAGGAGAACATTTTACCGACCAAATTTGGTCGGTAGCTGTAATTTCTGCAAAATAACCGACCAACTTCGATCGGTTCATAGGTCAAACATGGTCAAACATTTAAATCACATGAAAATTTACTATCTAAATAATATAAATATAATCCATTAACACTTTATTTTGTAATATAAATAATGAATGCACTAAGATATATTATAACAAGTTATATATAATTAAGTACTAGAAATTAGGCTTGTGGCAACGCTGCAATAGACCTATCGCAACGGTTCACAATCCGTTTCATCAGGTCGTGCCAATAGGTCTGCAACGGTTTCTGCAACGGTTAGAGAACCGTTGCTAATGGTTATCTAGTGCAACGGTTTTGGACCGTTGTCATAGGACTAGATATTGCAACGGTCATTTATTCATATCGAACGGCTCAAAACCGTTGCACAATGCTTTTATGCAACAGTTTTCAAGGCTATAGCAACGGTTTGGGTTATAAATTGCAACTGTCATTAGGAGCTATTGCTACGGTTGTTTGTGGGCTATTGCTACTGTTTTTGCACTTTTATAACAATGTATGGAATCTATTGCAAGGGTGTAATACAGCAACAACGAATTGATAACCAATATTGCACTAAAATTTCTATTAATCATAATTCAAAATATACAATAGTACTTGACAATTCAAAGAACAAGCATACATAAGTTTGCAAAAAAATTCAAAGATAAAAAATTCCTAGGACATGTGAATGTCTAGCAACGGTCAACCGATATTAAGTATGGTCTTTATTGGTTTCGTCGTTCCCTTGTTCATTTGCTTTATCTACAAAAAAAAAAGATGGTAATATATGAATCAGCAAAATTGTCATAACAGAATATATATATAAATTTCACATTAGCTTGCGAGATATGATGTTATTTACCTCAAAAACAGATAACAATTAAATTTATACGCGATTTTAAGGATATGTGGCTTAATTCAATACAAGTGATTCTATGACGTTAGATTAAGCAAATAAAAGATGTAATAAATGGCCAAACCAATGGTAAGAGTAAGTTCGGGCTCGGTTAATGACTTAACGGGGAACCTGCCTTTGGTTCTGAGCTTGCACTTGTGAAGAACTTTATGAACAAAAACAAGAACTTTGAATAACTTTTAGAAACAGAAAGAGCAGAAGTATATTGCCTTGATATGTGTGTTACAATGTGTCTAATTAATAATAAGCTTCCCCTTTATATAGTGGGGGTGTTTTATCCTAAGTACAATCCTAAGAAAGGTAAAAATCTTCTGTTTCGCTAATCACTCATTTTCTGCCGATACGGGCCGAGATTCACGCCGCGATATTCGGTTGGGCACGGACATCATGGCCCTTTGTTAGTCGTGTGCGGTTGTTTGATAATGTTCTCCAAAATCATGGGGCTCGAACCGGACCCGGAGGACGTGGTCCTTATGCCCCTGAGGGCAAGTATTTTGCTCTAGCCCCGATACGAGGGGCTCCTCGCTCTGACTCTCATTCCTTACGGTCACGTCCCTGCTCCATTTTACCCGTATACAGATAGTCCCCTCGTTTCTCAGAGAGTAAGCTTGCCGAAACGATGGGAAACGACAGATGATTCAGGTTCCTTCCTTTGTACGTTACGACGAGGGAGCCGAAACGTCCCATTAGTCGCGTCGTTGTGACTTCGAACACGTGTCGCTCATCGGCTGGTTGCCCCCGAATGCGTAGCGTCGGTTGTTTCCGTATAAAAGCTTCCTCCCCTTGTTCGTTTTCTACTTTTCGACTAAATTGTTACCTTCGAGCTTTCCAACCATCATCAAACCTTCTTCAAACCTTCATATCTTCATCCTTATTCTTCAATCTTCATTGTGACTTCCAGATTTTTACCTAGACTTTATTTAAATATTCAAAACCCGTTTTTCCAAAACTTTGCATTCTTTCCTCAAATTTTCAAACCTTCCCCCAGATGACAATGGCCAAAACATCGAAAATCGTTCCTCAACAAGTTGCCTCTTCATCTTCTCAACCGGCCACTGGTACTGAAGAGGTTGCCCCTAAAGTGGCCGCCCTCAAAATGGCTTCCCCAGATGTGGTTGCTAACGAACCGGCCCCCGAGCCTCCCTTGAAAGCGTTCATTCCCGGGTGCTGCTCAATTGTAGACGAATTTAAAGTTGAGAAGCCCTCGCGCAAACAGGACCGGGGTGAAGGAGTCTAGAGGTACATATGCTCCGTGACTAAAGACGTTCTTCCCATAGTTCGTAAGGATTGTAATTGGTAGGGCAAGGATGTAGTAGTCTCCGGGCCTGAGGACGTCGTTACTACCCACGTGGAGGGGTACTTAAGTGTTTACACTTACCCCTTCACACCGGGCCCGGTGGACCCGATCCTCTTCTACTACTTCGTAAACAAGACCGAGTCTCGTCGGTTCACGATCGACCACCTGCTTCGGCTATACAACCACCGAATGTTCCGAGGGGGACTGATCAAGCTTACTCGCCGGTCCAGCAAGGCCCCTTTTTCGAGTATCGACGAAGACCTAGACCGGGGCTGGCAGGGACTCTTTATCCAAGTGAAAACTGAGGATTTGATCCCCCCCCCCCGAATACATGCCAATCCCTAAGAAGTGGAATGCGTCTCATAAGTGCAATCTCTCTTTAAACCTCAAAATTATTTTTCTCCAATGCCTGTCTTCTCATTCATGTTTGTGGTTGTGCATCTGTCGCCCGGGGTCCGAATGCGGTTCCCCAACTAAAGGAATGGATCGATGGCATCTGTACTCATATGTCGTACTTTGAGCGCACATGGCGCAGATTCTCCAAAGGCCAGTGGGAGGCCTATTCTCATGGTAAGGCCTATTTCTGAATAGCCAATACCACGTTTTTAACTTTTATTACACTAACTCCTCTTTCCTTTTGTTATTGCAGGTTTGCCTAAGACCACCGAACTTAGGCCTTTGGAAGGGGACGGCGATGTGCCCCCGTCCGTTGATCCCTCCAATTCTGCCACGGGGGGGAAGAAGAAAAGGAGAAAATCCTCGGGCTCCCCGGGTTCCGAGGTGAAGAAACAAAAGAAAAAGGTAGCCCGCAAGCCCGGGGGGCTCCGGTTCCCGGGCGTCGGATTTCGAGTCTCTTCTCCGGCTTAGGGACGAGCCGGAGGATTAACCTATTTTTGTCACCCATAGGACGACTTATCCCCGGGAATCGGAGGTATCCGAGGAGGAGACTCGTGAGATCGATCCCTCTCCAACGAAAAGACTGATGTGGATACCCAAGGTGAGACTCCCCAGGATGCCGGCTCTACTCCAAACGAAGCGCCCGGTATAATTGAGATCTCGGGGACGCCCTCCTACACTGAGTCCATGCTCGAAGAGGCCCAAGCGAGAAAGGAAACGTCCAATGATGGGGTCCATGGTACAGACGATCCCCTTCACTCATTTTTCTTTGGTGTGGACTCGTCTGCTTTGAAAGACTTCTCCGGGTTGGGCGACCTGGATGTTCCGAAGGACACATCCTCGGGGGCTGACGGGCCGAGCTCGAGTTCGAGCCCAAAATTGATTAACCAGTTCCCCTCTTAGAGTGTGGACCCCGATCACAAGATATCAGTTATACTAACCGTCCCGAAGGATGCTCGGGTTTTGTATGCTCTCCTGTGGGGATAGCTAGCTATCTCTGATGCCTGGTGACTGAGGAGGACCAAGAAAAAATGAATGAGGTGAACGTGCCATGCCTTTTCAACGAGGCTCAGCAAGCGCTGAACCGAGTAAGGCATCACTACTTTCAATCGATCTGTTATCCGCATTTCATGTTTCTCATGGATTTTGCCTTTTTGCAGGCCTCGGTACTTTACCACGAGAGTTTCCTTTGGTACCGGGTTGAGGTCAATCAAGTTGAGCCCGAGATCAAGGAGCTTGCCCAAAAAAGGGATATGTACAAGCTTCTTAGTGAGGAGCAAGAGGGGGTCTCTAAGAACCTCCAGGCCGAGCTGGATGCAGCTCAGAAAGAAGCATCGGCCTTAAGGTAGGAGCACGCAGACTTGGTGGAAAAGGTAATGATTTTTGAAGTTTGAAACGAGGGTCCGATCACAGTGGCTAAAAACAATACCTCGCAAGTCCAGCAGAAGATCGACCAGATCGACCAACTCCGAAAGGAGATGGACGAGATCCAAGTAATGGCCGACGGGTGGAAAAGCAAGATGGACCTGCTGGCCTCGGAGAAGGAGACCGCCCAGTCCAAGCTGTCTTCGGTGGAAGTTCAGCTTCGGGTGGCGAAGGAGAAGGCTGATACACGGGCTCAGCAAAATGAGGATCTCCGAACACAACTGGGCTTGGCCATCGCTGAACGGGATGCCCTTGGTAAGGAGCTTGAAATAACGAGGTCCAGTTGGAGATAACCTCGGCCGATGTTGACGAGATGGTGGCCTAGTATACGGACGATGTCGAAGCAGCCGAGGCCCGCCTGAAGGCCACTGCTAAGTACGTGAGGCGGCTATCCCGAAAGGAGACCATCGAAGAAATCCATGCTCGAGGCTTCGACCTATCTACCGAGATCGAGGAGGAAAAAAGACTTGAGGTCGAAGCGAAGAAACTAGCTGAACCCCAAGGTGAAGAGGGCTCCGAGGGCTCTGAAGAATCCGAAGACCCGACGGTTTTGGTGATGAGTCGGGTTCCAGTAAAGATCAGCCGTAAATGCCTTAGGTTTTTTTAGTTTTTGTATCCTGTACATATTTTTTGTTGAGGCCGTTTTTGTTGGACCTTTGTAAAGATATTCCAGAATATATAAAAAAATTCCTTTTTTGACAATTTCAAGTCTCTACTATCTTAGCATCTTTTTATGATTACAAATATTTCTAATGTCTTTGCACAGAATCAAACGTAGTAATAAGTCATTTATTTTTCGAAGGTCCGAACAAAACCTGACCTTGATGCAATTTTGCTCGAAACCTTTGAAAACTCGGTGCGACTAGAAGTTTTCCCAAGATGCTTAAGTGTTCTTAGACAATGCCTTTGTCGAGGGTAACCTTTTAACAAGTTTAGAATTTTGTATTATGGATAAGGTGGCCTACGCGGGATCGTTTGGCCCTTAAAATAAATCCTAACCACCGAGCCTAGACTGTTCAAGCACAAAGTATTTTTCCTTCTTTAATAAAAAGCTTGCCCCGAGGGTGATGGCCCCTAGTATTCGAGATCAGTCTCGAGAGGGCTCAGATAATGTTGATGCGACCATTGACTCCGATTTAAAACTGGTTTTCAATTCTAAGTTAGCACGATTTACTGTTGCCTCGTTATAAACCTTGCCGGAAAATCCATTTCGGACAAAACCGATTCAAGGGAAAAAGAGTGCAACGCGTGCTTTCAGACCTAACAGCCACATTCTCCTTTGGTTGTTGCCTGCAAGTGTTAGTCTGTTTCATAATATTAAAAAAGGTCAATGAGATCGCATCTTACCAGTAGTACTGTTTTAAGTGCGTCACGTTCCAGTTGTTCGGTAGTTGTGTACCATTTCCTGCTTAGAGTTTGTATGAACCTTTACTGGTAATCCCGATGACTCGATATGGTCCTTCCCAATTCGGTCCCAGCTTCCCTTCGTTCGGGTTCCGGGTGTGCAGTGTTACTTTTCTTAACACCAAGTCCCCGATATTGAAGTTTCGGAGGTTGGCTATTCGGTTGTAATATCTTTCTATTCGCTGTTTCTGGGCGACCAATCAGACTAGGGTGGCCTCGTGCCTCTCATCCAATAGTTCCAGGCTAGTGCTCATGGCTTCACCGTTTGATTGTTCGATTAGATATCGGAACCTGAGGCTCGGTTCTCCCACTTCGATCGGTATT